TGAGCTCTTCAGGAAATTGAACCTTATGGGACTATGGAGTGAAGGTCAGGGTTGTCAGCTTTGACCAATAAGTTTTAGATTATCTCTGGAATATGATCAACCCTTGTTCCAAAGAAGCTGTCTAGCTAGTGCCCAGGAAGCCAATGTAGTCCCATTTGCTCATTTCTCTTAACCCTCTGCTTAGAGACCCTTAGCCTCCTGGCCTGCAACAGGGGCCCACCTTTTATGCTCTTGGACAGGAAGAGGCCTGGCAAACTTCTTGCACAACTCAGCCAGATGTCTGTCGCCCTGGCATCTGAACAGCTAGAACTCCCTGAACCTGGGTCACTGCAGATGGGCTGGTGAGGTGTGGGGTTCTGTGGAGCTATGTCTGAAGCTTGGAGTCTCTGTTTCTGGGGACTCCATACAAGTTCTTTACAGAGAGCACTAGATAGAAACTGGTGTTTTCCCTCACAAAGGAACCTGCACCAGGCAGCCCGTTGTAATTCAAATCTAGCAAGGGATACTCCACATACTCTCCAAATCATGTAAAAAGCTGGGGAAGACCTGTCCCACTATGTTTCTGAATTGGACTATTTCATGCCCATCCTTCCCAAAAAATCCAGTATGGAACTCCCAAGTGCCAGAGATGAATTTAGGAGAGACACAGCCTCTTCTGGCACTGTGCTGAGGCCTGGTCCTGCATCCTCCAGCCTTCATTTCCCATTGGAGATCCCAGGGCATCCCCCAGATGTGCGCAGGTTAAGAGGGGTGGTTATAAGCTGAGCTTCAAGCAGCCCCAGGAGTCTGGGTGCAGGTTCAGGCTGTCACGAGGTGCATATCAAAGCCGGAGTTTAAAAACTGTATTGGGAATAGTGCAATTATCTCGCTTCACCACATTTCTCAGCCCCGACTGAGGTTTAATTAAAGCCAAGTAAAAACACAAAGTCGCCATTTCAGATATCACCCCACTGCATGCTGGTTGGAAAAAAAAAAAAAATGCAAGGAAAGAAAAAAAAAATCCTTTCTCAAGGATTTAAAATTTTTTCTGTGGGTATCTCCCAGCTCAGTTGGATATTATTCCTTCATAACAGGCCCTTTAAGGAAAAAATATATTTAATATATATATATATGTATAAAATGAGTTAATCCCCCATAATCTCCTTGAGTTGTACCTAAAACACAGTTTCTTGCAGGTGACCTTTTCAGAAGAGGCTGTTGCTATGGTAACCGCATTGTTTGATTCCGTCAAGAGAAAAATACTGCATGGAAATGTATTTAATTTTGCTTAATTTGATGCTGTATTTAACACTTGTGCAGGCTGAAAGGAGAGGGGCTGGAAGGCAAGAGCCAGCTCATCTAGGCCAAAGTGTCTCCCAGACACCAGCATTCACTGAGTACCTCCCCTGGCCTAGGAGTGGGGGCCAGTTGTTCTCCCTGTTACACCCCCAAGGTGTTTGGCAGGAGAGAGATGGGTAGGACCCATTAGACAGTCCCTCAGACACGGGAACCTCTTGGGACAGACATTGCAGTTGAATAAAGTAGCACACATCCAAGGTGAAGCTTTGGATCAAGAGTTCACAGGCCTGAGTAGGCTCTATTTTGTTGCCCTACAGCCTCACTTTCCTCACTGGATTATGAAGCAATGAGTCCAAAGACCTCTGAGGTCTCACATCACTAAGCTTGTGAGTTCCCAGGTACAAATCTGGTGTCCTCAACTAGGTTTTCTTCTTCATGGAGCAGGGCTGGGCACACAATGACCAGCCAATGATTAATTCATTTGGTCAGGCTACTCCAGAGGACACCACAGCCTGGTTCTGAGAGGTTTGGGTATGACCTTGCCCAGTATACTTTCATAAGCCACTATACCTACTGGTTGCTACACAGGTATTTCCATACTATGTGGAGATCCTAAAACCAGACATATTAGGGCACTTGACCAAGGTGTCACAAGAGGTGATAGGATGGGGCAAACATGGTTTCCAATGGTCCCTCCAAGCCAGGCACATGTTCCTGTTGGTATCAAGCATAGTGGCCACAAAGAGAGACAGGCACAGCCAGGCAATGTTCTCCCAGCTCAGCTAGGCTGAGCTTCCCTTGTTCTAGCCCAGGAGAACTCCAGCCCTGGTATCCTACCCACTAATTTGGGGACTGCACCAGAGCAGCTGATCACTACTAGAGAAAAATGACACAAATTTGCTGACTAGACTCACTATAACCATGACCACAAATCTCACTCAACACTGTCAGAAAAGCCTACTACACTTTCCTAGAAAATTCAATTTTCCAATCTCTAGGGAAGCTATCATACTTTCTTCTCTCTCCCGAAGTCTCCAGCACCCCCTCCCTGACCCCATTTCAAGCTGACGACCTTGCAGTATATTTCACAGACAAAATAGATTTCTATAAGATGAGAACTACCTCATCTTCCCATCAATAAGTCCTTTATTGTATCTGCCTCAGAACCAACACACTCTGGCCATCTCAGTCCCCCAATTACAATGGAAAGAGTCCTGGCTCCTATCCAAGGTTAGCACCTTTACTGGGCTCTGAACCCATTCTTCTTGTTATTTCAAAGCCTTTTATTTATTTTTTTTCAACTGTCCTATTTCTTGTACACTATTATTTTCTTCCTCTTTACTGAATCCTCCCATTTGCATAAAACAAACCTCCATATCAATCCTCCTTTACATTAGTCCTTCCTTGACCCCACTGCCCCCTAATTTCTACCCCTTTTTGAGCTCTCTTTTCCAGCAAGTCTATTTAAAGGTATCATCTACATTCAGTGTTCACTTTCTCATCTTCCTTTTCTCTCAACTCACTCCAGTTAGACTTCATTGTCCACTAATCCATGGATGATCAGTAACAAAGATGGTGAAGCACTACCCCATGCTTAAGTAAATGGCCAATTCTCCCTCCTCATCTTCACTTCCTAGCAGCATTTGACACAGTCAGTCAATTGCTGATTTTCAAAAAACTTTCTCCTCCAGGTTCTGACACCTCACTCATCTGTTTTTTTTTTTGTTGTGGTGGTTATTTGGTTTTTTTTCATAATTCACTGGCACTCCTTCTCAGTCTCCTATTGGCATTTTCTAAAAATACTGGAGCACTCTTCTTGACTCTTCATTATCTCTCCCTATGAGATCTTATCTAGTCCTGTAGCTTTAAATGCCTTCTCACACACTCAGGCTTCTCAGATTGACATCTAGCTGTTCTTCCCAGGTCCCATCTAGCATTCAACTGTCTCCTCAACATCTCAACTTGAGTGTCTCCGAGGCATCCTAGACTTAACATATTCAAAACTGATCTTTTAATTTCCCCCTCAAACCCATATTCCCACTCCCACCAAACCTTCCCCATCCAAGTAAAAAGTGCATTCTCTATTCAGTTAATAAAAACCTACAAGTCAGTCTTGGTTCCTTCCATGTCCTACCATGTCCTCCCCATCAGGAAGTCCTTTGGTTCTGCTCCCACAGTAAGTGGGAATCCAACAACCACGGTCTATCTTCACTGCCAAGGCTGAGACCAAGCTGACAGAGCCTCCTGGCAGGTCTAGACCCATAGGCAGCCAGAGTGATATTTCTAAAGTACAATCTGCTTTCCCCAGCCTCCACCTTACAGCCACTAGCTTCCCACTGCAAGTAAGGTAAGCTCCAGGTAGCTGTGCATGGCCTTCTAAGACCCTCTGCATGGCCCTTTCTGCCTCCCAACCTCATTTCTCTCCATTGTCCCTCTTGTCTACTAATCCCCCAGACCCACCAGTTTGGACCCATTCCAAAAGCTTTGCTCTTGCTTTGCCTTCTGCTTGAGATGTTCTCACCTCCTATCCATATGTGGCTGCCACCTTCTCAGTTATCATTTTCAGTCCAAACATCCCATTCCCAGAGACCCTTCCCCAACACCCAGCCTAGGCACTTCCCAAAGTGCCCTTCTTTATCTGCTTCACTGCATGCATCTGGACCTAATATTTTTTTATTTCCACATTTGCTTCCTGTCTATTCACTTTTCCCCCTCCCCACACAAACTCTCTGATGATAGGAACTGTCTCATTCAGCACTATTCCCTACACCTACAAGAATGACTTGCACAAAGTAGGCACTTAGTGTTTGTTGACTGCTTACCTGAAGGAAGAAATTTTTGGCTAGCTGTGATGCCTTGCTTACATCTCTGTGCCCCAGGACTGGAGCCTGCCCATAGTCAACACATAGTAAATACATGTGAATCTGCAGCATCTGGCACTGAGCCTCCTCTGAGAACCCTTCTCTGACCTCTCACCTAAAGCAAGAGTTTGCATGGACTCTAACATCCCTGACAAGCAGTCATTCTGCCTTCCAAGAGCCTAGAATATTTGGTGAGAAAGCCTAGCAACTTAGAGAGCAGCCGAGGGCCATCACCTACAGAGTCCAGGCCCAGCTTGGGCTGAGGCAACCTTGCTGTAGAACACTGTCCATCCCCACTGTGCTCCTTGTCTGCATGCCCTGCTTACTTTCGTGGCACCATGGTTACTGCACAGCTTGTTCTCTAGTCTGTTTATTAACTGTAGTACTGGAACCGAACCCAGAGTCTTCCACATGCTGGGTGTGTGTGTTACTACTTGAGCCATGCCCATAGCGTGTTCTCTAGTTTATTAAAGAATTGAAAACAACAAAGGCCACAGTTTCATGAATAATTGTCCTGTACAAACTGGCAGAGCTCCAGGGCACAGGGTCAGTGTCACAGAGGGGAGGGAGCCCCATATCAAGTCTCCATGCTGTGCTCTGCTGAGGCCTCTAGGAGGTAGGATTTGAGGGTTTTAGTCTACTACTGTTACAAGACCCTCCCTCTTCTGGATCATAACTCCTCTCCTCAGGATCACAAATCATGGAAGACTGCATGGTACAGTGGTTAGGATATGGGCTTCTGCATCCTTCAGACCTGTGTTGGGTAACCATGGTCATTACCTTAGTTCTCTGAAGCTCATCTTAGTATGAGACATATCAAAGGATACTCACTGTATGTCTCAAAAATAGAGACATACTCACTGTGACCACTTTCTCATCTTCCTCTCTCTCCTCAGCCCACTTCGGTCTGAATGCATCATCCACCACGCCTCTGGTGACCAGTAACAAAATGGTTCAAGGAATAATATAAATGAGATCATAAATGCAAAGTGCTCAGCACATCTCTGGACACAGAGTAAACACTAAGTAAAGTGTAACTGTCATAAATATCAGGGCCTCCAGCTCTAGCCTGTGGTCCCAGAGCCAACATCACTCCATTTTCACCATTGTTGGTGAAGGAGAAAAGCTACTCTTCATTGAGTGCCACCCTGATCTGACTCAGAATATCAATGAAGACTCTCACTCTGCCGGCTCCTGCTCACATGACCATCCATGTCACACACACGTCTCAGGGGATAAACTTCCAAAGGGTGCTAGCAGTGAACATGCACTCAAGACTTTGCTGATGAAGGTAAAGCAAAAACAAAAACTATACATTGTTGTAGCTGAAAGGATCCTCCCTCTTCCGGAAGTCATCTACTCCAATCTTCTCAATTTGCAAATAAGAAAGCTTATAGCCCATGAAAGTGGGGACCTACCCATGACCACATAGTGACAGCTGGGTCTGGAAATCAGACTTCTTTAACTCATAGGAAGGCACAGGACCCATGCCTACCTTCACTTCCAAATTCCCTTCTGCTGCAGAAAATACTGGATAAAACACCCAATCACAAGGCATTCTCCACCAAAGACTCTTCACCCAAACCAAAGCTGAGAAACATTTTCTTTGCACTGCTTTCTTCACCTCCTAGGGAGGTAGGTGGCAGAGAGGACATCTCTGAAACCACAGCTTGCCCTGACCCACCTTCCTCTCCTCCTATCCACAGTCCTCCTTTTGCTTTCTCACCTTTTCTTGTTGTGCCTGCCTGCCTGCCTGCCTTTTCTACTGTTTGCTGAGAATCTGGGCTCTGTTTGCTGAGCCTTTATTCATTTTCATATTGCCTAGGATATTTTCAGCTGCTCCCCTGGGTTTTCAGGAGAATTTCATGTGGTGAGCAGCACACTGAGCTGCCAAGGTAAACACCAAATGTGACCTGAGCCCTGCCTGGGGAATTTGTTCACCTTATCAGCTGCCCTCTTGACCCACACAGCCACTCCTCCTGGTTCATGTATTGTCTCTCGCCTGGGCTCCTGGGGAGCTGTGCGTGCTTTTAGGCAGATGGGCTGCAAGTTTTCTCACATCCTAAGGCTGATGCAGCAGGCTAGCTTGCTCATGCTCTTGAGTGATGGACAATGGCATCAAGGACCTTTGGCCCTGCTGCCCCTTGCAGGTTTCCTCTTCGTACTGTGACCAGATCAGAGAACGAACGCACATCTTATCAGTGCTTGCATCAGCCCCAGAAACAAGGAGCATACATCAGCTTCCAGAAAGCATTGATCCTCTCTGTTGCTTTCCTGTATACATCAGGCCCATGCCTAAGGCACTGAGAATCAGTAGGAACAATAAGAAGGGGACACACCTTGAAGAAGGAGGCTCCTGTTAGAGGAAGCTAGGGGAGCTGTGCCTGTGTCCTCTTTACTTGGTGTCATCAAAGCCTAACGCATATCTCTTCAGTGCTCACTCCAGTTCCAGGGGAAAACAAGGCCTGAACCCTCCGCATTACAGAGAGGGGCACTAAGGGAAACAGAAAGCTAAAGAACATAAGATATAAAATCAAGATCTGAGCTTGAGCCTTGCTTGTCCATACATTAGTCTGGTGACCTTGGAAATCACTTAAATTCTCTGTGTCTCAGTCATCTCAACTATATAACTGGGACAACAGAATCCATCTCAGGATTGATGAGAGCATTCCCTGAGATAATACATGTGCAAGGGCTTGGTAATTAGTAAAGTGATTATTATTTACCCCCACCAGACATTCAATCAGTGGATCAATCACCAAAAAACCCAGTATCAGCCATAGTGAGACACTTTCAGAAAAGCATCTGAAGACTGGGTGTGGTATCCCACACATGTAATCCCAGCACTTGGGAGGCTGAGGCAGGAGGGTGTCAAGTTTGAGTGCAGTCTGGGGCTACACAACAAGCTCAAGACCAACCTGAGCTGCGTAGTGAGACCCTGTCTCAAAAAATGACAAAGGGAAAAACAGGAAGGAAGGGAGGGAGGAAGGAAGGAAGAAAAAAGAAAGAAGAAAAGAAAAGTAAAGCACCTGGAGAGCTATCCTCACACTCCACTGCTCTCGGAAGCCCAGCAGCACCCCATTACTAGCACTTCTCCCCATCTGAAACACTTCTCCCTCCAAGCCCCCATGCAATTTGTATGAAATGTTCTAGGACAGCAGGCAACAGTCCTGGGTTATTGGATATTTGTCAGGTTCAATAAATGGTATTCAGTGGCTCCAGGCTCATTGTGTTCTCAGGTTTGTCACTATAGCACTTACTGGTCATGGCCCTGCCACTCCAGGCACTGGACATTAGGAAAACAAGAGCAAGTTTTATTAACTGAGTCAAGGGATCCAAAGATGCATCTGTCACAAAGGGTGGGCCGAGGTGGCGTCCCAATCAGAGGCCAGACCCTGCTGGGCTCCGATTGGAGTTATTTCTGGGCTCTGTGGGTTGAGCAGAGCCTGGACATGGCTCTGGCTATGAGCTAGAGCAGGACCCACAGAGGAAATGCTTCTTTATGAGGCTTGTGGTATTTTATTTTTCTTCAAAAAGTCATCAATTTGCTGCTATCCCTTCCTTACCTCTGCTATTTTCACAACAGGACTCACATGAAGGACAAAGTAGAATTGAAATCAGAGCCTTCTGGAAGGCAGGGACTGAGCCTCCTGTGAGACCTAAGTGCCTAGCAGAGTGTCCTGAGACAGTGTCTGCAATAATGAGTGAATGAAGACAGCAGTGAGGCTGAGAGCTGAATCATCTATGTGTTCTGACTTGGATGAAGGCAGGGGCTGGGAAGAAACCTAGAAGCAAATATGGGAGGTCTACTCAGGAAAGAACAGCATGGAGCACTGTATCCAGGCAACATGGGATTTTGGAGAAGTTCAGAAATGGATTCTGGGTGCTTGTGAGATTGATCTTAGAAGTAAGACAAGCCCATTTTCTGAAAGCAGGGCAAAATGATCAAGTTGGACCTGTAGCAGTGTCTGAGGACTAATCCAGAGCTCCTGAAACCCTTCCTCATAAGGGAGGCCAGAATACATATTAGATCCTGGGCAGGGCCAGTTCTGTGGCCATCCCTATAGAGAGGAAAGGAGGTAAAGAGGTAAAGGCAGGAAACTGAAAAGTCCTTCAAACATCCTTGGCTACAAATCCCTATGCAGGATTATCAGCTCCCACAGACACAGACATTGAATCACAAGGGCCATGACTACAGAACATTCTGTATCACCCCCAAGACAGCTGAGGATGTCTCTTTTGTCCTAATCAAGGGAGAGCTCCTGACACAACTGGAGGTCTCTTGTTAGACATCAACTTCCAGGTATAGACCCTGATCCAGGAGCCCAAGTCCATGTTTCTTCTCACCATTCTATTTTGGGAAACAAAATACAGACAGCATCAGAGCCTTTCTGGAAAGGTGGGCTGGAAGCCAGGTGCCATTTGTTTTCATTTAACCTCAGTGAAGTTATGGGCTGAGGAGGCCGCACTGGTCTTCCAAACAAAGAATGGTAAATTGCTAACTGTAAAAAAAGAAAAAAATTTCCAGGACATGACTTGTCTGTTCCCTCTGCCTCATGAAAGAATTAATAAGAGTCTGGGCCACAAGTGAAAGGGAGGCTTTTAGCTTGGGAACTCACACTGAATGACACCAGGCCTGGAGACAATTACAGAAGACATTCAATGGAGGAAAGGTTAACAAATGCCACACTAAAGCTGAAATTGAAACCCCCGAGGCCTCAGCTCAAAAATCTGAGCCCTTAAGGTGACACATGGGGATGTATGCCATGGCAAGATCGTAGACTCCCAGTGAACCCCAACCCTAACTGCAGAAAGAGTACCACACTGGTGCCAGGAGAGAAGGCTGCTAAGGATAGCAATTGGGCTTTCAGGACCCTCCCAAGGGAGAGTGGATGGTGGTGGTTGCAGTCTTGCTTGCAAGGTTATGCTAAGCCCATGGGAATCCATAAAATCAGGGAGACTGAGTTGTTCAAATACTAGCCATGAGTCCTTAAAACCTGGGGGTGGAGCTGCTCTGACAGACAGATTCTTTATGATAGCCAGAAACTTTGTCTAACCAGGAAAGGGAATGAGCAGAGGCAATGGTGGAATACTCAGGAACTGGATATTCTCATCTCCAACCCATCTTATTTAGTGTTCTGTCTCCAGTGCTTACCATATGCCCAGCACATGTAGTGCACTCAACAAATATTTGTTAAGTGAATGCATGCATGAAACCCTACCTCTAAGAAACTCTGTTTCTATGACCCAAGCCAGTCCTTTGTGAGAACTCACTAGAATTCCAAGGATGATGACCATCAGCACCACTTCCATGAAAATTTAACAAATGGCCCACATCTGAATGTATGCTACCAAATGCACTTGATGGGACCTAGAACACCCTTGACCCTCATTCTACAGAAGAGAGAAGTGTTTTCTGTCTTGTTTCCAGACTCACTCCCCGCCCCACACTTGACAGTGAATGCTATGTACTTCCATCAATCAAATGCATACAAGTAACAAATGGCCAAGGATCCAAGGAGTCTTCAGTGGGGGAGACTTTGTCATACATCTCTAAGTGTTACCAGTCAGGCTGGATTCCCCAGCCCTGGCATTAATTGTAGCCCATGTGCTATGATTGGAATTAAATGACATGCCAAATTAAAGAGTTATTTTTTCTAATAAATATTTTGCATAGGATGTGTTTATAATGGCATTAATTATTTATGCTGCCATATAGGAGAAAGCATAAATATAAAGAGAGAGAGAAAGAGATCAGATGTTTCCTGTAGGAGAAATAAAATGAAAATTTCCATCAGGATGATGAATACCTGCTTTCTAACTTTGGGGCTGGGCCTGGGGGTAGGCAGAGAGACAGGGACATCTTGAGAACAAATCTGACAAGCATTATGGAGGCTTTTGAGGGAGGAATATGTTAAAAATGAAAGTGAGTACAGAAAGTTTAAATATTTAATACCTGCATTAATTCTAATTCACACTTTCTTTATTTTTCAGATTAAAAATTTACGAGAATTCCTCTCTCTTTCATCCTTCTCCTCCCATGGGGCACTTGGCGGTCACTGTACCAGGAACCACCTTTAGCAGTATTTGGATCACAAAGAGCACAAAAATAGTTGCTCATGCCCCACCCCCACCCCTTGGAGCACCCTCTATGCAACTGGTACCTTCACCCACTTCCCTCTGTGAAGCTACCATTGCTTGGCTTCTGGCATCGAAAAGACCGATGGGACCAGAT